CTGTCGATAAGGCTTAGACTGGGTGCAGCAGCGGCATAAATGGTGCAGAGGAGGCGAACATGGCGCAGAAGCGGCAGAAACAGCCCAGGGCAGCAGAAATGGCAGAGAGGCGGCAGAAGCTAAGTGGAGGCGGCGGCCACGACGCATGGCCTGATCGGCGGCACTGGCCGGGTTCCTGTCATCTCGTGATCAATACAGCTCGGCTTGGCTCGCTCGTATCTCGGATGACCTCGCCCCGGGCAATTTGCAGCCGACTGGGCCAGGCCGGGCGGGGCGGGGCGGGTCGGGGCGGGGCAGAGGCCGGGGGGGGGGGGGGGGGGAGGGGCGGTGAGTGACGGCGCAGTTGGTCGAGAGGGGAGGATGCTTTCCCCACACAGAAGGTCACGTCACGAGGGGCGTCACCAAGTCACGTGGGCGACGCACTAGCAGGCCCCAACAAGTCACGTGACCACAGAGAGCCGTGGCCACATCAAGACACGGGAGGGGGAGGGGGCGTAACATCAATAAATCAGAACGGGTCATATGAGCGCAGCACCGAAAATCTCGCACGGAAAGATAATCTACCAGACCCCTTGCGAACGGGAAAATATTCTGCGAGAATCTTTGCGGCACTACGAACGATGTTGATGTACCGCAGAAAACCAAGAGCGAGACAATCACCGCCCATGGCGTCGGAGTGGATCGTGGCACAAGGTCGACAGTAAAAAAATTTCCTGCGCGGCCGGCAGCCAGATCCAGCCAGCCATTACTGTAGGCACGCAGCACAACTCCGGCACCACGAGTGCCGCGTTGCTAGAACGCTCAAACCGTAGGCCGCTTCCTCGAAGTTAAGAAACCCGAGCGCAGCCTGCTGACCGCCCATCGGTGCGGGCCCGCGCCGGAGTGGCCGACGGTGTCCCGAGGGGGTGCCATGACCGGGTCAGAAGGTCGGCGGGTGGCCGGTCAGCGTCTGCGGCGCCTCGGGGAGCTCCCAGACCCAGAGCGAGCAGACGCCCAATGAATGGACAATGCACGGCAACAGTGCACAGGAAATCCCAGGCGACACTGGAGCTAACTCCGGGAACGCTGCAGGGATTCGATGATATGATCTGCAGTGGCAGTCCTTTACTTCGAGAAGGTCACTACATCACGCACCGAGAGAATCACTACATATCACATCGGGAGAGTCACTACACCACGCATTTAGAGGGTCACTACATCACGCATTGAGAGGGTCACTATACCACGCATTGAGAGGGCCACTACATCACGCACGAATCACGCAAAACATTTCAAACGCATTTGGCGACGGGGATAGGTATTTTCCAAAACGAAACACCAACATCTGCAAAGCATTGAAGACGGGTCGCTGCTGAGACTATATCGTGGTCACTGTGACAAGAACATCAAGGCTTCGACCACATGCTAAATATTTTAGCCGATGTGCAGCGTGGAAGTGGCAGTGGCACTCTGAACAAATAACACCCCGTCCCGGGCCCATTGTTTCCATGATTGATCGAAACAATCTACCGAAAAATTCCGAGATACGCGAGGCGGTGACGGCGCGCGAGTAAACAAACCACAATCCAGCCTTGCCGGCGACGTCGCTTAACACTCGCACAGCGCAGCGGCAAGGCCGCGGTTTGTCCCACCGCCACACTGCCGCTCGCTTCCCTATTGGCGGCCATCCTGACGGCACGGCAAGAGGGGACGGACCCGGGTGTCGCTCGGCCGCTGCCCTGAGGCCGGGTCGGCCGGTGCGTGGTCGCCACGTCACGCACGGCCCGTACTGCGCCGTTTGCGCGAGTTGATGGCCCATGCCGCTCCGGGCGTGTGCGTGCGACGCATCGACTCAGTCGCGCGGGGGCAACAGACGGAGCTCGATATTCTGCGCAGTAAGGACGCCGGTGAGGAAATAGATTGCCGCTGGGCGACAAAGGCGTTTCGAAAGGGAATTATACGACAGGCATCAAAATGTGAGCCCTCAAATGACCCTGCCCGTTCGAACTCACCGGCGGAAAGCTACGTCTGGCAGAACCGTCAAGTCAAAGCATTTCCTTTGCACGATTCACTGGTTACTGTGAATGCGTCGAGGCAGATGGAGTTACACCAAGGTTTCATCAGGAGCCATTCGTCCCTTCGCCCACAGAACCATGGTTCGTCCTCTCCCACCCAGGAGGTCACCCTTCCCCCCACCCACTGAGCGGGCGCCTCCTCCCACGCCACGGGACGCCTGCCCTCCGCCCTTCCCTCCCGGGGTGCCATCCGAGCACGCCTGCGTGCGGCGTCGATACGCCCCGCCGTCCAACGCACCCCACCGCGTCCACTGCGACGCGCGTTCGTCGCTAGTGACCGAGCCTGCCGGCATCGAGCATCGGTGACCTTCAGCGGCCGCAGGCGCCGGCTGCGTGTCACAGGAGGTCAGGTGCGCCGGCCGCCGCCGCCGCCATTTCGAGGCATTGATCGCCGCCGCTTGAAGTCGACAGCGGCCGCTGTTTGGCGGCCCGGGCCGGACGGCCGGGGTACGCAGTCCGGCGGGGTCGATGGGGCCCGCTCGCCCCGGGTTACCACCCCGCCCGGCGCACATCAACACCCCCCGGCCGCCGTCACACGCGCGGGGTCGACCAAAGTCAAGGTCGACTAAATACAGGGCCGGCCGCCGTTCACCAAGCGGTGGCGGGACGGTTGTTGGTACCGTCATAACGGGGCAGAAACGAGTAGGTGAACTTGGCATAAGGCCGCTGCATTTCCAGGTTTCATATCATCATCAAAACGCACACAGTGCGCATCGCGTGTGATGTCACGTTCATTACGTCGCGTGTGCTGACCCGTTCATTACGTCGCGTATCATGACACGTTCATTACGTCTCGTGTCATGATACGTTCATTACGTCCCGTGTCATGACACGTTCATTACGTCGCGTGACATGACGCATTCATTACGTCGCGTGTCATGACACGTTGATTATGTCGCGTGTCATGACACCTTCATTACGCGGCTTACCGGGCAATGCTGCGCCCGCGGTCAATGCGACCGAAAAATTGAATCGTCTCTCCTCCCATCGTCGGTCTAATGCCGCCCCGTCTCTCCCCCTCCCCACCGCCCTTCCCATACCGGTCTCGCGTGCCATCAGCGGACGTGGTTAGATGATGATGATGAGGTCATTCTCGCCTCCCGGCGGCGGCCGGGCCGGCTGACAAACGCGCTCGATTATGGGGCCCGTGTGGACGAAATTAACTCGAGAGACGGCACCTATCGACCGGCCCAGCCCCTGCGGCCCCGGTGGCCGGCGCAGACAAAGTGCCTCCAGCTACCAATCCAGTTTTTAAGTCAAGTCGCAGTGGAGAAGTGGAGCACCATGGTCAGGCGTAATTAATCTTCATGCTCTTCAACTTTTTTACCGTCTTGCGTGATTTCACGAGTTTGGCATCAGTTTTGAATCCGTAGCAGTGAGGCCAACGCATCACGGACACTGTGTCACTCCCCTGGATGTTACTCTGTAAACCTCGGTAGCGTGCCTGACAACGTAACAACAGCCCGATGAGCACGCACTTGAACCGCGAACGAGCAACTGAATTGCAATTGAACGCCGCTTATAAGATAACTTGCTGCCATCCGATCCCCTGTCGTTTCCTGCATGCTTTTGTGTTAGGGCGACGTGAACAAGCTAACACAAAATTGCACACCGCACGCCACTGACGTGCAAGACTTTGATGTCCCCGATGTAAACAGGAAAATGTTGTCGTCGGAAAGGGGCACCACGCGGATCAATACGGCATTTCAGCTTACGCGCCAGCATTACCAGACGCGCTCTGTCGGTCGGCAGCTATTTTTGGAAACCGGAGCGCGTTTTTGATACGATAACTCGTTGCCTATGTCGCTGAATTGACCACATTCATCACATCTCCGGCTGAAAGGAGGTCTGCTCGGTTGGCGAGGCGCGCAGCTCCAAGAAAGGGGAGAGGGGGGGGGGGGGGCAGCGTCGTCCAAGCAGCGTCAGACACAGCCGAGGCGCCGTATTTCTCCCTCGAGGAGGTCCGCGATATTGCCTCTCGACGACGAAATGAACTCTACGACGCGCCCGGAGACAGAGAACGGGCGGATGCGGTGGGACAGGAAGACGGCGAGAGTCTGCTGGAGCTCGGGGACAGGGAGACGGTGGGAGTCTGCCCGGGCTCGGGGACAGGGAGACGGTGGGAGTCTGCCCGGGCTCGGGAACAGGGAGGAGTCTGCCCGGGCTCGGGGACAGGGAAACGGCGAGTCTGCTGGGATTCGAGGATAGGAATGACTGGGACAGTGGACACCGGGGTTGACAGGAGGGAACCGGGAGCTATGGCAGACTGTGGAGACATGTACGTAAACTGTGTACAGGTGGGACATGGGAATGAGCCGTAAAGAATGCACTGCAGCGGACGTCGGTCGGTGGCTTTTGTGTGGTAGGCTGGCCAGGGGAAGAGGGAAAGAGGTCACCTAAGCCTGGACTTAAACCGGGATGTACTCTAAGCTGAGGATGACTGCCCAGAAGCGCTCAGACTGACCAGATGCACTCGTACTGCCCAGAGGCACACAGGCTGGGCAGAAACATTCAGATTGTCCAGAAGCACTCCAGATTCCCCAAAAGCACTAAGACTCCCCAGAAGCACTCAAAACTTCCACGAAGCGCTTAGACTGCCCGTAGGCACTCAAGACTGCCCAGAAGCACTCCGACTGTTCAAACGGGCCGAGTCCCGGCTCAGACCCTCCGAAGCGATTCGTCTGGAAAAATACCCGCCTGCCATCGACCGAGCCCGCGACGCCACAGAAAAAGCAGCTTACAGACCTCGGTCCGCCCGCCGGAGGCAAACAAGCATCCCGGCACTCCAATTCCCACCGTCAAAATACTGGCTGGGAGTGGACCGTTGTCGGTTTGGGTCTCCACTCACACGGCTCTCTTCGACCACGTCCGGAGCGTGCTGTGCTTGGGATCATTGTCAGTTACAGTCTCCGCTTGGATGGTTATTAAATTGGCTGAAGGGCTTACCTTTTCACAGGCCGACGTCGCCTTGATGTGCTCGGCATACTTGGCCTTGACGGGGCTGTTGTGGGCGCCGCAGAGAAGCTGCCAGACGATCCCGCGGAAGTGGTGGGGGATGCCGCGCCGCACCAGGTCCTGCCGCAGGTCAGGTCAGGTCAACATGTGTCAGGTCAAGCGGGTCAGGAGGTGTGAGGCCAGGTAAAACTAGCCTATGGTAGGTCAACATATGGTATATGGTATTAACTTTGGTAGGTCAACACAGATCGTGATTGTCGGAGCGGATCACCTAGTTCAGAGATCATGTCTGGTCAACAGAGGTCACAGTCGCAAGTAAGTCAAAAGAGCGTGACCTGGGGGCAGTTAAGCCTCGTTAAATCATCGGTCGGCCGATAGTCGTTGGATGGTCCAACTCCACCCCGCCGATATTCTATAACGCAGCATATGGAAAAATTTTACCACCAATCTCCCACCCATAGCCGGCCGCCAGCTAGTCGCCCTCACATTTCATAACCGTCAGAAGCCATTCGTGCCCCCATCCGTCTGGTCATTCTCCGTCTCATCTCCCCACAGCGTCCGTGCGGCTGAGATTACGCGAGATCACAGTCGGAGCTGAGATCCCATCTCGGCCGAGAACGAGCTCGGCGCGTCGTTCGCCGCCCGCCCGCCGCCGGAAGAAACGCCCCCGACATTGGCTCACTGCTGCTCTACGTGGCGGTAACATGACATGAGGAGGGCACGGCACTGCCGCCGAGACGTTTACGAGTTTGGCGAGTTTTTACGAGGCGGCGTGTCGGCAGAGCGACATTCTCCAGACGACTCCTTCCTCTTCATTTACGCGAGTAGCAGGGTCTGGCATAGCGTGGTGAAACGGGTGCAGAGTCCGATGGTGTATCCAAGTAGCGACCGGCACTTGGGTTCTAAACACAGCTGGAGCACCTAACACCGTATACTTGGGGAGAGCAGGCCGTATACTTGGGGGCAGCGGACCGCATGCTTGGGACCGGACCGCATGCTTGGGACCGGACCGCGTGCTTGGGACCGGACCGCATGCTTGGTGAGAACGGACCGCATGCCTGGGGACAGCGGACCGTATGCTTGGGACTGGACCGCATGCTTGGGACCGGACCGCGTGCTTGGGACTGGACCGTATGCTTGGGTACAGCGGACCGTATGGTTGGGACCGGACCGTATGGTTGAGACCGGACCGCATGCTTGGTGAGAGCTGACCGTATACTTGGCAAGAGCTACTTGAATCTGGGAATTCCTAAACTTGGGCCGGATGAGAGACCGCCGAATGGCCACATTTGATCCAATATTCCGCTGTGGTTACCAGCCGACCCATCTATCCAGTGATCCGTCACCGGTCATTGAGCCTGCCCAGAATATCCGGTTCAATTCACATCGCGTGGATCCGATTATAAGAACGCGTCCGCTTGATTTCGCAACTCTGAGTGCGTACTATTTTGAGCCTTTCCGTGGATCTGCTCCAAGATCAATGTTTGGGTACTGTAGCGAAGCACTGCTTAAATGCCGTTCATGACCTACAGGCCGCTACTACCTCCGGATTGTGTGCAAATTCGCTTTCATAACTGTCAGCGATTCTGCATATAAATTCATGTATATTATATCAAACCACTATAATACGAATATGCTTCCGCGACACAGAACGGTATGATTTTGGAACCCCACAGGATCCTGGACTCCAGCACGAGGTTAGCCTGAACTCTACACGGATATGAAGCCAGACTTCCGTAACATCGTAAAATGCTGGAGCTCTGTACAACTAAATCCAAGAACAAAATGCTCCATACACTGTGCAGTCATGATCCCCGACTGTGCACCGGTTCAATTCCGGACCACTGTACGGATACGATTTCGGACCAATGTGCAGACAGGATTCCGTGCCGCTGTGTGGACACAATGCCAGACCACTGTGCGGGCACGATTCCGGACCGCTGTGCAGACGCCATGCTAAGCCGCTGTGTGATCCCGTACCGCTGCGCAATTCCGTATTGCTGTGCGATTCCTACCGCTGGGCGATTCCGTACCGCTGTGCGACTCCGTACTGCTGTGCGATTCCGTACCGCTGTGCGATTCCGTGCCGCTGTGGGATTCCGCACTGCTGTGCTATTCTGTACCGCGATGCGATTCCGGACCGCTGTGCGGACACGATGTCGGACCGCTGTGCAAATGCTCGCCGGACTATTGTGCGGACACGATGCCGGACCGCTGTGCGGACACGATGTCGGGTCGCTGTACGAATGCTCGCCGGACCACTGTGCGGACACAATGCCGGACCGCTACGCGGACACCACTCTGCACCGCGGACCGCGAGCGCCGGCGGCGGCGGCGGTCCGCCGGACCCGTCGGACCTCGCGTCGTTCGGGCCGGACTGAATTCACCAGGGCAGACGCCGCGGTCCGGCCGGCCCGGGCCGCACCGATTTGTGAATCAGATTGGTCCGTCGTGCTGGACGTGAGATAATCGGGTTTGATTTATGGCCGCTGGGCGGCGGGCCGTCGGGCGCCGCGGCCGTCGGCACGCTTCCCAGAGAACTCGGCCGCTGCGCTGGTCCGTTGTGCAGGCGATGGATGTGACGGTGGTGGTGGTGGTGATGGTGATGGTGATGGTGATGGTGATGGTGATGGTAATGGTGATGGTGATGATCGCATGGTCGCAGAATACGACATTCTCTCAAATAACACGAAAGAAGTGGTGTTTTTTTTTGGACAATACCGTCCATTACACCAAGGCCGAGATAGTTGTGACACCAAGAGTTGTCACATGGAACCCGATCCATGTGACGACAACTGCGTCAAAAAATACCAATCAAAATATTTTTTAGCATTTTTCGGTCAGAGGTATTCCCGAGATAAGACAAAGAGGGTGGGTAGCATGTAGTAGTATCATGGATAACTTGACTATATGACTCAACTGCTTGAAATAAATCGGTATCACAGAGGCGGAATGCCTTGTGCTGGGACGATGGATGCATCCACTAACTACCACACACAGTTTGATACTAATGTATGACGTGCATCATCATTTGGGTTGTGCTGAAGGCATGATTTACTGCGATTCCCCCCCATGTCTCTGAGATATATGGGTGGCAATGTTCCCAGCACCATCTCCTCCCAATTGATGGAAAGCCTCCCACTAGCGGCTTCAAGGAAGAGCCGACCATAAATCAACGTACAATCTGGCATTTGACCATTTCATACCGTAAGTATGCTTCATCACTGAGAGCACGCCGCTGTGCTTTGATAGTGTGAAGTAAGTCAGTGCCAGTGCGGATCCAGAAGACGCAAATCGAAAACGTTTGAGAAAAGCAGCACGTGCAGCGGCCAAAACACCGCGGCAACATTTCAGAGAAAGCCAAATCTTGATGTGGGTTAGACCTGACCTGACCTGACCTGATTAGACCTGATTAGGTATACCTGATTAGTTCGGAACGTGAAATGAGAAAGGACAACGAGTGATGCAACACAAACCTCAACAACAACCACAAAAAAACAAAACAAAAAAGACGGAAACAGCGCGGCAACACGGCACCAGCCACAGAGCAAAGCAAGCCGCTCACGGCGAATCGACGCCAGTGGCGACCGGTGCAGACAACATCACAGCAGCAGTGCTCATCCCAGACATCACCTTGACCTGCTGCTGCTTCTTCTTCCAGTGCAGATCCCACTCGTTGACGATGCGTCCCCAGACCACCCAGGCGTCCTCCTCGGGCTCGGCGGTGCTGTCCTGACCCTGACCCGAGCTGGTGCCCGAGGTCACCGAGATCTGAGAGGTGTCGGACGACTTCCGGCTGTGTCCGGAGGCGTTCGACAGCGAGTTCAGACTCTTGGCGTCCGTCTCGATCATCCTGCGGCCATAGAGGAGGACGGGTCACGGCCGAGTCGGCGCGAACACGGAACGCGGCAGGACGTGCGAAGCCAAGGTCAGTATCAGTTCCTTCAGGTCACGTCACGTCACGTCACGTCACGTCACGTCTTGTCACGTCACGTAACGTCACGTCACGTCACGTCACGTCACGTCACGTCACGTCACGTCACGTCACGTCACGTCACGTCAGGTTGGATCGGGAACGCTCCGGCTCTCAAGTCAGAGGCTTAGAGGCAGATTACTCCCGTCTGATTTCCATAATATCTAAATTTGTTCACCAGGCATTGTGCTCGTCGTCATTTAAACCAGCCTTTTTGGCATTGTTTGAGTCATTTAATGGCTGATCATTGGGGACTTAACGATGATCGAGGTTGATGCTGCACAGCGTGTCGCACAGCGACATATGAAAATCAAAGGAGTGCTTATCTTGTGTTGTTGAGCGCATTTGCGAGGACCATTATGCATATAGATAAGCTGGTGATAATAGCCTTATTCCTCGTAGAAAAACCAGGAGAATGAAAGTGTAAATACGTTGATATTTCCGCAACATGTCGTTACCGAAGCGAAGAGCAGAAGTCGGTCCGTCGCTTCTGCTTTTTCTTTCGAGAACGCCATGTTGCCGAAATATTAACGCATCTTTATCACCATTCTGTTTTTTTTCCTGCGAGGAGTAAGGCTTTCACCGCTGACTTGTCTAAGCGCCTGTCTCCTGTTGCTCATCTAATGCACTGCATTGAACCGGACTCGGGTTTGCCTATTGCACGTACAATGCTGATCACCACCGCAGTCGGGCGATTTTAATCATCATCATCGCACCGCGAGGCCTCAGTCTGACAGCCGACCTGACGTGACCTCTCCCCGCCCCAGGCAGCATGGGGTCACGACTGACTGTCACCAGCTGTCCCCGACGGCGGTCGACACGGGCGACGAGGTCAGTTTACCGTCGACTGGGCAGCAGAAATAGCACCCCGCAGCGGCCTGCCCACGGGTCTGCGGCCCCTCTGCACTGCTTGGGATGCTGCCTCCAGCCCCGGTAAGCTCTGATTTCCGAGAGCACGTGCGAAAGTCGTCCAGGCGAGGGAAAGAAAAGAGGCACGGATGCCATCCGAAGTAGTTCCGAGCGGTGGTGGTGGACCGATTGGGTTGGAGACGGCCGCCGCACGAGGAGGAGAGCGCGGCTCGATGGCCGTAGCTGGAGGGGGGGGGGGGGGGGGGGGGCGGGGAGGGGAGAGAGACGCCACAGAAGGCGGAGACCTGCGTTAGGCAGCGGGAAGTTTGGTTCGATCGCGGACGAACACGACGGAACGGAGGGGACGAGAGAAGGACGCGAAAGTGAACACACCAGCTCAACGCGTCATGGGGACACGACGTTCCACGACGGTATGACCATGGCATGACATGACGATGAGACCGAGTCCAGCGACAGCGGCCGCGCCGATTCCACCGCGCGGCGCCACCTGGCGCCAGCGAGGGCGATTCCACCGCGCGGCGCCACCTGGCGCCAGCGAGGGCGAGCTCGGTGAAACGGTGGCCTCTCCGTCAGCGCGCTCCAATTGGGGCTTTGGTCGGCTGAGACAGGCTGCAGGCCAGTCTGTGGCCGCCTCTCCCAGGCGACTCGGTGATAAATGGGTCTAAGTTAGCAGAGCCGGCTAGAAATGGTAGCCGATGGCGGCGGTGGCGGACCGGGCGGCGGCGCGAGGCAGCGCCAGGATGAAAGTCGCCCTCATTTTTCCGGTATATGATTTATGCCCTCAGTTGGAGTAAATCTTCCGTTTTTGAAAGATAGGGATTTATGTTTTTCATTAGGCACATGCATCGCTGTATGTCTCAAGTTCGAAATGAAAAGTTAGCTCAGCCCAAACTTCAGCTGCTGCAGCATTTCACATGTGAGATTTCCGCGCACATACGAGGGTGAAACACGGCACGTGCCTCTCCCTCAGCAGGTCTGGGTCGCCGAGATCGGGAATGCGTCAAACGAGAACGCCCAGCGCGGGTCGCCCTCTCATCGCAACGCCGCATTGCTCACTGCAACACACCTTAGGTACCGCCAGGCCAAGTCACGACGAGAAAGGTAAAATGGCCTAAAATGGTCTGTGGTAAAATGGGGATCTGTGACTGCTGCGCCATGGGAGTCCTCTGGGACCCCTGCCGGACCCAGCTCGACTAGAGATCGCGCCCGTCCTCCTGCCAGTCCTGCGCGCGCCTCCGTGGCCCAGCGAAGAAGCTGCAGCCAATGACTGACTGACAGACTGACACTGTCGACACACGTTGCTAATGTCGCAGTCCAAGCACTCGACGACGATGGGCCGTCACGGCACATGGCGATGAATGCCGAGTTGATTACACAATTCTCTACGGAGACGGGTGCAAGAGGGGAGTCAATGGGAGGCAATTAGAGGCTTCTCGTGTGTGTGCGTGTGTTCGCAAGGGACGTGTCTCCGGGGAAGCCACGCCGGGCAATACAGCGACGCAACTGAAGCGGCGCTCCCCCAGAGACGGGACGTGATCGAGGACGTTCCGAACGAGAGGAAAAACATCACAGAGCTTCACCGGGGACTGCGGAGTGCGCCGGTGTCAAACATCTCGGGGCATTGCAACCGACGAAAGCTCCACCCTCCGGGAGCAATTCAGTCTGCCGAAATCGATGCTTCCAAGCGTGTTTTAGAAGGCTAGAGCCTGTCGATTCAGATACATTAATGGCGGCAAATGCTGGGCTATTCAATGATTTTCCTTCTAACGGATGTCAGCCGTCCCAGCGACGTCTCAGACGTTTGGATGGTGGGTCGGCTGGTGCTGCCACACATTTGCCACACACAAATTGAACGAGTGATGAGCTTTCACCCCAATCCACAGAAGGGAAATTGCGTTTCGGACGGCCGCCTCCTCCCTGCAAACAAAGTTGCGACAAGTTGCGTCCTGCAAGATTTCCTGCGCGTAAAAAGCGGGCCCGGATGCTCGCTGAGAAGTAATCTGCCGCCTCCCACGTGTTTTTCCAGCTTAACTTTAGCCGAGGCCTCTCTTCGGGCGAGTAAGTGCCTGTTCAGCCGGCCGTCTCTGTTTTGTCGTCCTATCACGCGCCTTGCGTTTCATTGGCGCTGAATGGCTGCCTGTTCTATTCGCCCATTCGGAATGAGAATGGGGGCCGGTGATCAATTATGCCGCGAGGCAGCGCTGGGGCAGCGCAGCCCGCCGCCGCCAATGTCTGCGGCTGTCCGGCTGCGGTCATCGTCGGCCAGCCATCGTCAGCCAGCCATCGTCGGCCAGCCACTGTCGGCCAGACACGCTGGGAGCTGTCCGGTTCACTGAAGGGAGACATACAGGCCACAGCCGTGCGGTGCAAAACCAGGAGATTTAGGATGCATGAAAACCTCGACAGCACGAAACAGCTACACGGCTCAACGGAAGGATTGAGACGATGTACTAGTATCGCGGACGGGCTGATCATCTCCGACTGCCGCCCTCGTGAGAGGAGTACGACAAGGCGAAGACGATGGTTCGAACATATGTCGAGAACATCATCAATGACAAGATGACAGGAACATTCGTCCGGGACAAGAACACGGCGTGGCGAAGCGCAGGTGTTACACGCGCCACCGAGGTGCCAGGAACGGCGGAGGTGAGATGCGATTGGTGGAATGCTGCGGCGTTAAGACGGCTGCCGGGAAAGTGACGTCAAACAAAACGAGCCCCGCGCAGTCATCAAATTACGCTTGAACGTCCCGCCCGGTAAAGCTGAGATGAAAGAGGCTATCACGTTAACCGCCGCTGGCATGAACAGGAACGACGGCGGGCCATCGCTGACGCCCTCAGCTCGCCAGCTTCAGCTTCCTCTGGACGGACACCGAGCGCGGTCCGGGCTCGGAGGCGCCTGTCGTCTCTGCGCCGGCTCAGCTGACCAGCCAGCTGACCAGCCAGCTGACCAGCCAGACCCACACTTAGCCGGCTGATCTCTGATGCGACGGTAGATCGGGGCACGGGGGGCCACAGCACGGCCATTACCATTCCGGCTAACGAAGGCAGATTGGGATCTATGTCCGCCTGGCACCGAGGAAATAGGCTATCGCGGCCGCTGTCTGCCGGCCGTATTTGGGAATTGTGATTGGGAAAATCCGCGGAAAATCAATGTCGATTGTGCGTTAGCTTCACTGCGCGGGACCATGTGCGCATACGGTGTCGTCGCTTCACGAAGGAAAGCATAGCGATGCACAGTACACAAGGACTTTTGACGCTGGTGACCTATGACCTCTCCAACATCGCCAGGGTGGTGGCCATTCCGTAACCTTGGTTCCAGCAGTCCTCTTTCACCGCGCGTGCCCTCACAGCACGCCAGATAATACTGCTGATGGGATCATTTACGTCGGTGAGATCTCCATTCATCTGACCCTGTTCGGAAACGCCGACATTAATTCTGACATGCCTGTGTGACAAGCGCTCATAACACCCCAGCCTCCTCGCGTTATAGCTCTTGATGGGACAACAGTCAGCAGAGGCTGACATCCACAGACAGAATGCGACCTTGACCTCCTCACCACAGTCACAGACAAAGGAACATCCGCCAATGCCGCCATTTTCGGGCGAAAAGCACAAACAGCTGAAAACGACAACCGTCGCGACGTTCCGAGCGAGGTTCGGAGGAAGCACGCGACAGGAGGACGACACGAGCCTAATCAGCTTTGCGCCGCCGGGGAGCGCGGCCGGACGCCCTTAAGCCGAGGCGACCAACCATTCTGACCAGGCAGGGGCTTCGGAGACGTCAGCCCACACGGCCGGGGAATGGGCGTCCCCGAAGTCCACGTCGGCGCGTGCTGATGGGTTTGGGCACGTGACAGGTCGCGGCTGGAATCGCCAAGTCGAGGGGTCAGCAGGGTCAAGGGCTCCACCGGCCTGCGCTGCCGTGAGTGCTGAGGTCATGGCTCGGGTCTCACAGGTACGTGACTGCCCAGTCATGCCCGAGCCCGCTGCACCGGCCGGGCGAGAAGG